ATATGGAAGTTAAGCTCTGTTAACTTGGTTTGTTAGGATGTTATCTTGGGTTTGAGCTAACTTTATGTATTTGTAGTTCACTGATGAGCTTAAATTGCTTTGCGTCCTCGCTCCGTCCTCTTTGTCCTTATTCTCTCCTCCTGTATTTCTGCAGTCGCTCTTCGGCAGCAAGGACTTTGGTTTTTTCCAGTCTTGATGGAAATAAATGGTTTATGGCCAAGATCCGTTTCCTGAGAGAGACCTGTGGGAAAACATCTTTCTGTTAATTTCCTAGTCACAATTCCCAGTTAAAGATCTGTTGGCTGATTATTTTTTTTTAAATCCATTTAATATGTGCCATGTTAATTTTGTTTTAGTCAATTAATAAGCAGTACCAAATGAAGTGCTTTATAGAAGACCAAGTATATCAATGCTATGAAATCGACATTCTTAAAATTTGTAAGTCGAACTTGTAATCTCATCAAGAGGGATGTCAGTTCAGTTTGACAGAATCTATTTTCCATAGATGTAATTTGATTGACATTGATTTTATTACCCCTCTCTAATTCTTTATTATTGGAATCCAGTATCGAATATTCTGTAATTTTGCCTCGCTTAGCATTAGACTGATGGACCTGTAATTACTTGGGTCATCCAGTCCTCCCTCTTTGAATTTCAGTGCAAAATTCTTTCCTCAAGGCTCCTGGAATTTGTTCAGTGCTGTAAGAATTACTGAAAATCACAAGAGAACCATTTGTACTTTTTTTGGAGGCTATTCTGTGCAAGTAATCCAGATCTTCTCATTTAAAAATGTATAATTTTAGGAACTCCTGTTTAGCACCCACATGGGTTGCTGCTTAGTAGTTCATACGGCTTCTTCAGGTGCATATAACATATCTATCTTCTCTGTACTGTTACTATGTGCTGGTGAGTCAGCATGCGTGTTAAGGCATCTTTTTTTCTGTAATCTGAAAAAAAAAAAAATTTGTTATTCTGACCTTTACTAGCCAGAGATTTTTTTTTCTTCTGGGTTTATGTTTGTTTCCTGTGATTTTTCTGTTCTAAATTATTTGGGTTTCTATGCATTTTCTCTTTATCTCTTAGTGTAAATATGGATTGGGTAAGCAGAGTGGCTTACAAGGGAGGTAAAGGCAGGTACAGGTCTGTAACTGTCCCCACTTTTTTTCATAGTTGAAGGCGTTTGGGTGTATGGATAAATATAAACCGGATATATTGACTTTTTAATTTTCTTTCTTGTGGTTTCCTTTAATCTTTAATTCAGCTCTGAAATGGAACCTTCTAAAATATGAAATAGGTACAGCTTGAGCTTGGCTTTGCATGTGTTGGGCTTTTTTCTGAGACTCTCAATTACTTAATTTTTAACCCTGTTATTGTTCACTTTTAGACCTATTCTTTACCAGATAATAGGAGGTCCACTTTGCATTTTTTTTTTTCAAGCTAGATAAAACATTTATAAAAAAAGTAGTAATAGTGATACAACAAGGTGTTGTTTTAAGATTATCTAGAAATATCTCTTGCCTGTCCTACTGAATCGCAGCATGGGATGAGCTATTGGATTCCAAATGACAGAAAATATTTACTATTTACAGTGCTGTTCCTGGGAAGTGTAGCATGGGAATGAACTTCAGTGTCTGTGTGGGATCCCACTGAGAGGTCCAGCTGCTTGCTTCATGCTGCCAGATTGCGTCCAAAGAAATGTTACCCTTTTTCAGTACATGCAGTAAGAGCACATGATGAAAAAAAGTTCATACTGCTTCACTGTGTTCTGGAACAAATCCTCCTCTTCTTTCTCTACCAGTAACAATTCTTCCTGCTTTCACATCTAGAGTCTGTGTTTTGTCTGGCATAAGGTGTATTGCCCTTGAGAGTCATTTGAAAATATCTTTAGCTAGATATAGAATTTTTTTGGTTTCTTAGTTGCGTTTAGCACACTAAAACTTTATGACGTCTGCTAGCAGTTGTAAAGCTTTTCACAAATTATTTTTTGCTAGGTTTAGTCTCTTCTCAGTAGTGATACTGGGGGGGGGGATGTCTGTCTTCATAAAATGAGGGTGTTTAGGGGAGATGATTGAAAATACAAAAGAAACCAAACTAAATATAGCTCTGAAGTGGCAAGCTCCTAACCGAAAGATTTTCTCATTTCGGCTTCACAAATACCAGGTGTTTGAGACAATTCTGCCAAGATTGGTGGTCTGCAAAGGGTGTGGGGTTTGAGGGGTTTTTTTTTAAATAAAAGGGATTTTTTTCTTGAATTAACAGAAATACAGTGTTCAGAATGCTGAGTAGACCTACCTTTCTTGTGATAATATAATATAAGAAATATAGCAATTAATGTAATTGATATGAAATTATAACCAATAGCTTAGGAGTAACAGCCCTTAAATTATATTACGAGTTTTATATATTCCATCATGTTCAGGAATATACAGTAAGAAATAATCATGTTTCTGTGTCTCTATTTTCTAAGTGAAATTTTATGGCAGTATAACTGTTTTTTTTTTTTAAGACAGGTTCTGCAGGCAGGCACGCAGACAGCTTTGTTCCTGTTGGTGGTACTTATCCTTCACCTTGGAGAAAATATTTGATTCCAGTTGGTAGTGAGAATCAGAGATGGTAGTATTTACATAACACAAATAACGTTACTGGAGAACTCCAAGGAAAGGAGTGAATGGTCTGTGCGGAATTTTCATGTCATTCTTATCTTGCATTGCCATTATTTCCCTTCCCTTCAGTTTGTGTTGTCTGTGGGTTTGTTATCCATGGTCTGTTCCTTGCAGAAGCGTTTACAGGATTGTTCCTTTGAGAGATTATTAAAAATCATTCTATGTATGATAGAGGTTGGTCAGTCCATGTGCCTCGAGAGTTAACAGTGGCTGGATATGTAAGCTGTGTTCAGACAGACTGACATAAATCCCAGGGCCTTGCTTCAGCCATGCCTGTTACAGTGCACCTCTGAAGATCAATAGGTGGTTGAAGGGAGCAGGAGCTTCCTCTAAAAAGAGGCTTGTTTGCTAGAGAATGGCTTCCTTCTGCCTAGAACTGTTCAGGATTAAATATTAAGGATTTGATGTGTTCAAAGGCAGAGGGATCTGGGCTGTATAAAACAGGTAGACAGGAAGAGGAAGCCATGGCATGCGGAGCATCTCTACAGTAGTTCTGCTCCAGGCTTTGTGCTCTGTCCGACTTCCGCTCGTTCTTGGTTAATGTTGTGTAACTTAGGGAAGAATATTTTTGGTGAGATTAATTCAGTTCTTCAGAAAGACTGGGTATGGTTTTATACTTATTTCTGAATTTAAATTGATTGGATGGAATTGCTCCCTGGATATATTGTAGTTTAAAACAGTAATTTTTCATCCTTACGCCTGCATGTGGGCATTTTAGGCATGAACTGCAGTGTTTCCATGGATTTTTAAGGTCTTCCATCACATAGTTAGCAGCTTTTAGTGCTTTGATGTGATTTTGTAAGACAGAAGCGCTCCCTGTATTTGTGTTACAGCAAACGCTGTATTTTTGGTGGCTCTGACTTTGAGAAACACACAGATGCTTTTTTGTAGTCCAGGAGACAAAGAAACAAAGCGTTGTGCTTGGGAGGCAGGATCCGTGCCTCCGGGGTACATCAAGGCACTTGGTGTGCAGCTGCTTTCCCAACCTCCACTTTCTCCTGGTGAGCAGGAGCTGGGTCGCTGTTTGCTGCTCCTGTGGATAGAAATCATCTTCCACAAGTGCTGTCCTTCTCCGTGGGAGGGATTTTCACAGGTTTCCTTTCTTGCTGCTTGTGAGGAGCACTTAAATCCCCTGCACATCAGTTCCCAGAGGCAGATTGTCTTTTGGCTTGCTGTTCTCTAGATATACTTGAAGGGTGTATGAGGAGGAGCATGATTGAAAGACTGGATAGCTTGCCTGCTCGCTTGGGCTCGCTTATTCTTGAAATTTTGTTATCCATGTGCCTTAAAACATAAGAATTGCTGTGATTTCCAAATGTGCAAAATAGCTTCGGTAGGAGGCTCAAAGGAAGGGATCTGGAAGTTGCTGTCTGTCATGTTGCATTAATAGAATTGATGCTGCCAAGCCACTGCTTGGGAACTTGGAAAAGGAACCTCTCTGGTACAAGTTCTCATGGCCTATCACAGACCCACGGCTTTGTCCCCGTGCCACGTGTATGAATATCTGTAGTGCTAATGCCACAGCCTCTCCAGCTCCGTCTTACTTGTCTCAGTTATTAACCAGGTCTCCTCTTTCCTGCTGCAAACGTAAACACAGATTTAGTAGAACAGAAGCTGTTGAAATTATTTTGGCTGCTAAAGTGGGCTCCTGCCATCCCATGTGCAGCAGCAGTTGTCCTGGTTTGGGTTTGCTGTCATCCCTCATACAAAGAGAAGAGCTTTAATGTGCTCTTTAATAAGGTCTCTTACCCTGCTGCAATTTGATCTGTCCTTTCTCTTGCTACTTACTGGCTGCTCACTGAGCAATAAAACGAGATGCAAAGTTGGTTGCCCGTTTCTCAGTCAGCTGCTTCAAGGTTAGTGTTAAAACACTGTTTCCTAATTTTTGCATTTTAAACACTTGTTTACAAACGGTAGGAAAATTACATGTGTGGGGGTTTTACCAATTTTTTTTTTTTTTTTTTTAAAAGGTGGCCTCATTACTGCTGTGGCAGGTCAGCCAGTTACATTTATTAGGAACTCAGCACAAAATTATTACACAGTTTTGCTGCTGTCAAGCCTCATACATGCTTTTCCATAAACTCCCAGGGAAGGCAGGGTGAGGGGTTGCTGCTTTTTATTTTTAAAGTAGGGTCTTCAGAGCAGCAATTTAAAATTTTTATGTTGGCTTCCACTGTATTAAGGAGATAATGAAATGGTGAAGAACGGCACAGAGACCATGGGGGACAGCAGGGATGAAATGAACAGTGTAAGAAAATAGTTCCCACTCTTGGAAATTGTTTCGGTGGTTAAAAAAAAATACTGAGTCCTTTTTTTCTCTTTCTTGTGTTTCAACAGGGCAGAGTTTAGGGTATGGATTCGTTAACTATATTGATCCAAAGGATGCAGAGAAAGCCATTAACACTTTAAATGGACTCAGACTCCAGACCAAAACCATAAAGGTAAGACAATACAAAACGCCTTTTGCTCAATTTGGGAAGTGGAGAAAGTACTTGAAATGGTTTTGGGCAATTTGATCACTATCTTAATCTCCATTTTTAAGGGGCGCTGGGCTAATGAGCTTCTCTTTGGAACAATGGGAGGATGCACAGAAGGTGAAATGTCTTGTTCTGAAATTGCTGCTGTTGTTATAGGGGAGAAAGTAACAGGAAGCTGCTTAAAGCATTGCAGTGAGTCTTACATGTAGAATGAAACAGCCATAGTGATACAGTTATCCAAAAACAGAGGTGAAGAATGTGATAGCGTGTTCTTAAGATCCATATTTTCTTGTATTTTAATGGGAAACACCTTGACGTGGATCTCTTTTAGTGACACTCATGTCATTATCAAGTGTTGAAGATCTGTTTCTCTCAAGTTAGAATATGGTTAAAAAAAAAAAAAAAAAACACAACTTTTTCTCATTTTCCACATCCTTAGTTGTTTGATTTATTCTTTTAAAAGCTGGAGGGATTAGAGATCCCACTGAAGTCTCTTATTTCACTGTTGTAATAGACCATTAGTTATTCAACGACCTTCTTTAGTGGTCTCACAAGAAAAGCAAGTTTCTACATTGTCACATTTTTTGCTGCATGACTGATAAAGCTTTTCTGAAACATCTTACGGATGATTTCCACATCCTGAATTCTGACAATTAACACAACTTTAGGAACGTGAATCAAAAAACTGAAGGGGAAGAAACAGCAGATTTGATTCAAATTACCTGAAACTGCGTTCATCACATTTGAACGCAGCCTTTTGATTTGTACCATTTTCTTAATTTTTCTTCTGTACTCAATTTGTATTTCAAAGCCAAAAATGTTAAAGAATACAAAAATGGAATTTTTATTTTTGAAACTATTGGCACAAGAAGTGTCAGTGACTTTGTATCTTGCAAAAAAAAAAAAAAGTACTGTATGGTCAGTGCTGTAGTTGTACTTACCCTTTCTCACTAAAGACCTTGATTTGGACAAAGTGGTATTCCATAAAGCAAAAATATTTGCTGGATTACTGTGCATTTCTAAGGATTGTTTGAAGCAGGTTTTTTCCATGGTCTGTTTGATTAGTGAAGAGCAGAAGTCCTAAGCTGAAGGTTATGAAAGCCGTGGAGCAGCTGCATGGATTACATATAGAAGGCTACTTCTAAACTTCCCTTAGACCAACCAGGTTCCATCACATAGATATTTATGTGGACCATATATCAAAATGCTCACAGCATGATTTTGTTGAGTTAAATAGAAAAACTTAGAGGAATATGTAAGGCAAAGCAGCAAAATCTGCTGTCTTATCTACTGCTGCAGGTGGAAGTACACGCTTGGACTCAGCAGTTTCCACTTAACAGTAAAAAGTTGAGCAGTAAGTTGCTCTCCAAATTGCTTTTAAAGGCACTTTATCAGGAAAAATACAATATTTTGAAAGTACTAAGCTGTTTTCTAAATACTTGCTTAAAAACTCAGTAGAACTTGAAAAATCTACATCAGTTTTTAATGCAGCACTTGTGTATTTTGAACATTATTCAGCATTAGCAAAGGTGCCACATTTCTTGTCGGAAGTACCTATGTTGTTTTGTCTTTGTATCTTTGATTTTGTGAGCCAGAGCAAGGCTATTGCATTCATAGCGTTCTGACGTTAAAAGAAACACAAGCTACAAAACACCCTCCAGAAACTCCAACCCACCTCAATTTTCTCACATGCAAAATTTAACCATTCTGCTTTTTTTTTATTATAAGAGTTTTGTTACCCAGGATCTTCCCATGCTAAAGCATCTTTGCAGAATGTTTTCTTTATTTTTTCAATTTAGTATAAGCTTTGATACAAATGGTTTATTAGGTTTGGAGTTTTCATACTTATTAATAGCTAGTAGACTTCTATAGAATATGCGACATTTTGTTGGGTTCTTGAAAGCTGTTAAAATTGAATAATAATCAGAGAGATTGACCTAACCTACATGCACAGGAGCTGCATAATTTCTTCAGTGATTCAGATGATGTGTAGGCTTTTTCTGAATAAAATTCTTTTCAAGTGTTTATGAAGTTGCCTGAAACCAACCCAGGGGAGCCTTCTACTCAAATAGCCGAGCTTTGGACACAGGGACATCTCATCGGCAGTTTCCAACCCAGTTTTTAACCGCAGAACCACATGGGATTACCTCTTCCCCCTTGATTTTTTTTTTTAAATTTTTTTTTTATTTTTAATTACGGTTTGCTCTTAGAAATCTTAATAAATGAGATCTGCTTCCCTGGTACTGTGTGATGGGGATGGAGGTTTCTCAGTGTTGGGGCTGAGCGGTGAGTCATGTGTTTTCACTGCTCCCGGCAGTGCCCTTGCTGCCAGAGATGTCCCTGGTTTCCAGAGGGTTGCAAAGCGATGAGAAATTGTACTCGGTGCCACCGAAATCTCCTAGCTTGCCTGTCGTCCCCCACGCCCCTTTCCAGCATCTCATTCTGATTAATTATCAAGTTTTAAGTATTCTAATTCATGGAATTACTATATTTAATTATCAGAGCAGATTACTTTAGCTAGATGCCCTCTACAGTTATTTGGTGCATAAAAAAGCCTATCTCAAAAGAACATATAGAAAGAGATTGGGTGGCATTTAGTTTTGTAAAGCTAAAAACTATTTAATTAAATATTAGAATAGCACTGAGCTGGAAGAGTACTGAGCATTACTTTATTCTGTTTTCTTCATGAACGTGGTTGGTTTTTATGCCCCAGAATGAAGCTGTAATGTCCTGTTGATGGGTAGGTAAGGGAGTTTCAGCTGTGCAGGTAGCTTTTCTCTAGATACCATTTGTCTGGAAGCTGTTTAGATGGGAAATTGAAATGAATAATCTGTGAAAGCCCTTTACAGGGGCGAATGACTTTTGCTTGCCAAGGTCACCTTGGTCCTGCTGGCTGTGTCCTGTCTCCCTGCTGAAATAGTTGTGGGCTCTGCTGTCCCTTGTACTTCAACTGAAGATGAGCTGGCTCTGAGGGCTCATAGTTGCACTCATTTTTTGTCTCCACGAGGCTTAATTCCTGTTTTAAAAGGTACACATTTTCTGTGTGTGTCCCCAGATCTAGTTCTTATCACTTCTATAACATTTTCATGGTGTTCTTTCTCTCCTGATGCCTTGCAACGCAGCTATGCAGTCACAGGAGGAACTGGTTTTATAGCAGGATCAGCAAAACAACTAGGCACAGTCTGCTCTCAGATGTGCAGACTAAAATAACTGAGGAAATGTTCTTTTATTATTTCACTGTTACAATAAATAATCCCTTTTCACTGTAGCAGCTAAAATATTTATGTGCATTTTATTTAAGTCAATGATGCCCTTTCAAGTCAAAGTCGAGAGATGACTATTTACAGAGTATCTGTTTGGGTAAAGCTCTGAAGGAGGTATTATGTGTTTGGTGGTAATAGGTTATACATGTTGTGTTCCTCCTCAGCTGATCATATTTTATTCACGCCATTTTGTAGCATCATCATCATCATCATCTTGTGAGGGCCAAGGGCTTCGCTTTGTTTTCACAGCTAAAGCTTGACATAATTCTACAGTACAGCTGAGAATGAGGGGAGATACAGCGTGTGTTGAAATAAATATATATTCCAGAAATTGAATCTATTTTTAGAAAATAAATTTGCCCATCCATAAAAGCATATGAAAGGTCACTGCTGCTGCTGAAGATTGCCTGGCAATTCAGTTGCATCAGATATTGGAAGGAAAGTAAGGTGTGTAATGTATGGGGTACAGATTGTTTTAAGCTGTGCTGCTTTGCCCTGAAAAAAAGTACAGCGTCTGAAAGGAGGCGAAGGAAGTGTTTTACAGTTTACATAGGGATTCAGGTGACCTGGCTTCACATTGGGGAACACTGGAACAAGAGCAGAACAGAGTTTTGAAAGGAAGTTTGAAGTCTAAAAAGAGCCAGTGACCCCCTGAAGTTCAGACTTGTGTCCCCCCTCTCCTTTTTCTGTTGCTTTAGCAGTAAGTAATTCTTTTTCCACCCTGGCAGGAGCAGGTAGCATGCTGTGACACAGCTGGACCAAAGGGAGAAGTCTCCAGTGAGGGGAGAAGGTATCTGGCTTCTCAGAACCCTTGATGCCTTCCAGTTTTTCAACCCATCAAATCTAGCAGATAATGCTAGATACCAAACCTATCTGATAATTCCTCTGTGGTCAGGCTTGCTCTAATTAATTTTCAGTTAAATAACATGGAATATAGCTATTGCTAGATTAACACTTCCTATTGTTAGTTCAAAATATTTGTCTGCTTTATTCTCCTGTTTTGATCGATAGGACTGGATTGTCCTAATTTAAAATACAGTGAATAGGGCTGTGGGAGAAAACTCCTGTGTTTATAGAAATAAAATAGTAACATTACTGTTCAAAGATCTTGCTATTTATCTTGGTTTCTCTGGCATTTTTCAAAATGCCAGATATTCCTACAAAACCCAGGCTCTAAATCTGTCCATGTTAATTCTTGTAGTTGTCTGCAAAACCACAAACCATCCTGTCACTTAGAGTAGCCAAATAGCAGCAAACTCAGACTCCTCTGTCCTACGAAGTCATTTGTCAGAAAGATTGCCTTCCAGTCATGCTGGGTGGGGAAGGAGGCACAAGAAGCACAGGGAATGGAGGAGGAAAGGCTGTGGAGTGAGCCGTGGGAAAGGGACCTGCATCTCCTGCACCCCATACCAAACTGCTTGGGAGGCATGGGGGGCAGTTAGACCTGACTATTGGAGTTGCAGCCAGAAAGTGCTGGATTGCTGATAGGTAAAGTAGCAGAGCTCTGGTGTTGGGTGGTCTTGGTGCAATACTCTGCCAAAAACCCTGGGGTTTCCACCCATATTTTCTCATAGCCCCTCTAGTGGCTCCCTGCCACTGAGCTGGCTGGCCACTGCCTGCAGCTTTTTCTCCAAATTAAGATAATGTGCAAGGCTGGATGGTAAGGAGAGAGTGTACACGGATCTGGGGGTAGTCTGATTT